ACATGTAGAATCTGGAGTTGTTGATACTTGGGATCACAAAATATTCAAAATGTCCGTTTGGGGTTGTTTCACACAAAAGGGTTGGGAACCCCTTGGCTAGGCTGAAAAGTTGTAGTTAAGACGATAGTAAAGTGGATTAAGACTGAAAAAGGAACGCAAACAAGTAGATGAATTCCCAGGGGAAGGGACCATTCTTTTTAGCCATGGTCTTTATCCTCTATTTAGAAAGATTTGAATGTAGCACATCGTGTTTGTGCCCTCGACAAAAAAAAAAAAAAAGTCAGCATGTCATTTGGATTAGCATGTTGGATTAGCATGTTAGCATGTTTCGACTAGGAGACGTTCCGGCGTCGTCTATTTTTCTCTTGACGTGTTTAACTGGAAGATGACGGCATGTTGTGCTGGCTGGACAGTTATATGAGAGTGTTGTGTTGTGCTAGGTTTTTGCTCAGTTCCGTCAGTACTGAATGTTCTCAAGCCTGAAAAGATCATCCATCATCCATGCATATCCAAACATAGTCTGACCACCAAACAGATTATCATGGGCATCTACAAATACATTGGGAAAGTAAAACCATTCAGGAGTTCAGTAGCAGGGACTGATGAACAGAAATCGAGCAGAAATTGATGCATGGAAAGGTTCAGGAGCAGGGTAACATGACAAGGCCTTCAATGTTCAAAGAGTTAACCCTTCCCATTACAAGGACTGTTAAAATGACCACTGTAACGCCTATTATAACGACATTTTCAAGCATGATATACATTACACATACAGTCTACTCTTAAACAAGCACAGATGCAGGAGTCTATAATTTCCTTCTCCCCCTCTCTCCCTCCCCCCCCTCCCCCCTCTCTCTCTCACACACAGACACACATCCCACACACATGTTAAAGCCATTAGCAGAGTAGTCTTGCAGCGAGCTGACAGCATCCTATTACACCATTATACTGTGGGAACAAAAAGGACACACACACACACACACACACACACACACACAGAATCAGAACATTCCAGAATGTGTGTAGCCCACCTGGGTCCAGACATACCCACAATGTCCTGGGGTTTAATGACATAGCACAGTCTAATAAAGACTATAATTTTTCTCTCTCTCTCTCTCTCTCTCTCTCTCTCTCTCTCTCTCTCACACACACACACACACACACAGAGAGAGAGAGAGAGAGAAAGAGAGAGAGACATTATAGATCAGATACACAGATCAGAATATGCTGCTGCTAGAGATTATGTCATCAACCACTGCAATGTAATGCAATCAGTGTTCAGAATATTCTGTGTGTGTGTGTGTGTGTGGTTTAAATGCTTACACAGGTTTTTATCAATATCCACGTCTTACTTCAGCAAATAGTAAACTCTATCCACAGCATCTGTGCAGCTATTTTTGACACAGTTCTCTATATTAAGGAAAGAACAGAAAACCGAGTCGTTTATAATGGAAGCAAAAAAATGTAACTAAAAAGAATTTATCCAACGTTCTATCACCGGACTGCGGTAAAAATAAATAAATAAAGTTACTTTTCCGGTGCTTTTATGCCCTCAACATGCTAACGAGCCTGTGTTCACAAGTCTGCGGCGTTCATCATGAAACAAATGATAGAAATGACTGTAACTGTACTATGTTGAGTATAATAAATCATAGCACTTTTACTTTTATTAATACAGAAGAACTGACCGCCCCGACAATCGTCCATTAAGAAAATGAACCACAATGATTCTCTGTAGTAAATAGGCCAGACGTTTCAATACAAGAATTATGCATCTGTTTGAGGAAATTTAATCCCCCTCTTAAAAAAAAAAAAGAATAACGAGATCAGTCTGGTCAATTATAATATAAGAACAAGGTTTGTGCAATATGTCCTATGAATCCCAGAGAACATTGCAGTTCCTCAGATTCATGGAACATCACAGCTCAATCCAGCAGTCAGTCTTCTCCCAAACTCCCGAATGGTCCATCGTCACATCCTTTTTAAGCACCTGCCAATGACAAAGCAATGAAAGTATGTATAAACACGAGAAGGAGATGAAAGGTGAGATGACGAAAGGAGAGAGTGATGGGAAACAACGGAGCAAAACGCGTATAAACTCTGCCAAAACAATTGCAGACATGACTCGAGGCAGCCAATCCTGGCTCCGCCCCCCCCACCGCATGGGCCCGCCTGTTAAACTCATAACTCCGCCCACCACAGCTGCTCTAATGTGATACACAACTGGTTACCTCACTCTTTTACACACACACACACACACACACACCGTTAAATACACACAGGAGCACATAACCCACCCTTTTCGCCCTTAGAGACACTTTGAGAGAACTTTGAAGAGAAGCAGAACAACTGACTGCAGAAGAGATCATCACTACATAGGACAGTTACTGGATATTTAAGTCACACACATACATATTTATATATACATATACAAACTGATCGAGCTTAGAGGCACTCCAGAGGACAGGCCACACACGCAGGGTGTGTGTGAAAGATGACAGGGAGGATGCAGCTTCTTATAGCCATATCTCTCATTCTCAGTTTGAATTCAGCCGTGGATGCTGAGTCAACCGGTGAGTACACTTTATAACGTTCCTATCATGACCATCAAAGCCGTGTAGTCCATTGTGATATTTTTACATTGTCTTTTTAACACATTGCACTCCCTTAAAACACCTTGAAAAAGCGCTCACTGCCCGATACGACAGTGCGTTCGTTGTTTAATGTTGAACGTTAATTCATCGCTTCACGTTTCTTTCACGTCCACGCAGAGACGTTCGAGTCTCTCTTTTTATCCTTCCGACCATCCTCAAAGTAGTCTGAACTTGTTTAGCTGTGATGGTTTACGAAGCCTACAATCAGTGTATATCATCAAAGTGATTCAGCTCTGGTTACTGCCAAGTGTGTGTGTGTGTGTGTGTGTGTGTGTGAGAGAGAGAGAAAGAGACAGACAGACAGACAGACAGACTGTGTACATGACCGAAGCTGTGTGCAGGTTAAACTCATGATGATTTTTGCAGGGTTGAGGAGATCGAATGATTGTATTAAGTCCAAACAACACAAAAGCTGACACCGATAGGTCATGACTAAACACACAGAAATTCTCTGCCTCGAATATCCTGCCTTAATCTGCCCTAGTGTTCTATTACTTCGAGAGAAAAAAAAAAAAAAGCAAGACGATATTGCCCTAGTTAAAGTCTAATCAAAGGTTAAATTCATTTCAGCCATCGGGCATCGCGTTCGTCTGGGTCTGATCCGAGATGCATCGCGCCCAAATGTACACAAACGAGCGAGGCACATATGTTAGAGATTTCTTTTTTTTTTTTAACTGTCTGCATACAAAGAATCTTGAGTGCACTGACTTAAAGCAGTAAGACATTCGTGATTGGTCACAGCAGCTGGTGCCAAGCTCTGATAGGTTCAACGGGTTGACCTCGAGTCCTACTCATTCATCTTCCATTTACAGAGAGAACGTTGAAACTCTTCAGCCTCTGAATTTCACCGCCCCTGTTTACCGAGCCCAAAAAGCTTTTCAGCCCTTCCGTGGCCAGAAAGACAGACAGTAGTTAGTACTGATTAGGTGCTCGTAAAAAGTAATGGCACAGCAACCTCACAGCACAGCAACCAACTCAACAAACACAAACATGATTATATTAGCTTTGGAGTGAGAAGAAAAAGCCCTGACCATGCACATGAACCAGCATGAATGGGGGGGAAACGATCTAGGGACTTGCCAAAGCTTGCACACAGGTATGGCACGTCAACCAACAGACTGGAAAAAAGTTGAGTCTAGGCTTAAAATGTCAGTTTAACACTGGCAAGTTCCCTGTGCATGTCTCTAAACACATGAAAGTCTGAACTCGACACACACCTTCATTATAATAAACGGAAACATAAATAACAGCCCTGTTAGGGGCGCAATGGCCAATAGCCACCGCCATAACAACCGACATCTGTATTTTGCAGTTTCAGGCAGTGAAATCATTGGTCAAAGGGGCTAACTTCTGGAAATTTTGAATGAATTACTTTCAGTAAAACAGAACTCTACGTGAATTAGAGTCAAGCTGAATAAACATTAAAACGTCGACTACTTCGGTACACTTTTCAGGCTTAATTATCACAGACCTCAACGAGACTTCGCATTGTGTTAAACAAAGCGTTGAGAGAAACACCTTATTGTCATTTTATAAGCTGTAAAAATAAATAAATAAATAAAAAAATAAATGATAACGTAGAAATAGGATTCTAATTAAAGATGTCAAAGGATCCAGTGTAAGAATAATGCTGAATGTCAAAGTCCTCTGGACGTCTATTTCACGAGTGGGGAATATACTGTATCTGAATGCTATTTCATCAGAGGCTCAAGGACCGGTGAGTTTTTTATCGCACCTAACGTTTATCATTGAAAGGATATCCTACATTTAAAGGGGAAATCTTATAGGACTTAAACTACATTTTAGGCCGGACATGTTAATTTACGGTTACAAATTCTGATGGGGACATCCCTTCTCTTTACCTAATTAACGGATTATCTACTCCTATGTCAAATCTCATGTGCCAATTCCTGGAGAACCGTCCGAATGATGCGTGCCACTAAATTTGGTAGGCTGGTGCCGGAGAAGTATGGACACTTTTACAGGAAATGTCAAGGTTAAAACATCCTATGTCGAAAATGACTCTTTTCCAATCCCGATTTCCCGTTCGCCCATTTAAAACGAAACCGTTTACCTCTACAGTGTACAACCTGCTGACATCACCAGACTGTCTGCCGGATCTCCTGCATGGAGGTTTAGCGGAACAGGGAGTAACAGAGCTCTTCCTTTTCGCAACATTCCGCCTGCAACCCCGAACTGGAACCACAGTTTTTGGGCTTTATAATCCACAAGACAACAGCAAATACTTTGAGTTCACCATTCTGGGCAAACTGAACAAAGGTGAGCATGTTTTACTGGTACGTATACAATTTAAACAAACATTTAGATCACTTTAGAATCACGTAGGGCGCACGGTGGCTTAGTGGTTAGCATGTTCTTCTCACACCTCCAAGGTCGGGGGTTCGATTCCCACCGTGGCCCTGTGTGTGCGGCGTTTGCATGTTCTCCCCTCCGGGTACTTCGTTTTCCTCCCCCAGTCCAAACACATGCATGCATATGTGATTGTGCCCTGCGATGGATTGGCACCCTGTCCAGCGTGTACCCCACCTTGTGCCCCATGCTCCCTGGGATAGGCTCCAGGTTCCCCGTGACCCTGAAAAGGATAAAGCGGTATAGAAGATGGATGGATGGATGGATGGATAGAATCATGTTGATTCCACTGATTTCTCGCTTTTCCATTCTTCTTCCCCCTCTCCTTTATTACCATCTGTGTATTTCAATTCCCTAATCTATTGTTTTCTCCTTCTATGACTAGCGACACTGCGTTACCTACGCATTGATGGCAGGATGGCCACTGTCACCTTTAACAACCTCAAACTGGCGGACGGAGAGAAGCACCACCTCCTTTTTCACCTGAAGGGCCTGGAGGTTCCATACACCCAGGGGTCTTTTCCACCTGGCCAGGCAACGTTGCCGGTGCCAGGCGTGGAGTTGCACCTGGACTGCCGATTGGTGGAGACATTGAGGGATTTACCAGCGGTGTTCAATGGGCTTAATAACAACAAGGGTGTGGAGCTTAAAACCATGCAGAGAAAAGCACACGTAAGCACATAAACAACTAGACACACTTTATGTACTATCCATGTTATTCGATGTTATTCAGTTCATGTCCACATCAAACATCAGATGTGATCTCGGTGACTTTGACCTGGTTGTTTAGGACAAACGGGTCAGTTTGAGTATTTTAGAAGCTGTTAATCTCCTAGAATTTGCACGCACATGTCTCCATAGTGTACACAGAATGGTATCATAGTCACATAACTATATCATAAAACTGGTTCTACATTCCTTTCAAAGCATGCTTCTTCTTTTTTTTTTTTTTTAAATGTTCGAACGGCAGGAGGAGCTGGAAGAGCTGAAACTGGCTTATGGTGATTCGGTAGAGAATGTTGCATCGCTGCAGGGTTGCCACCCCCACCAGAGTGACTCCGTACAGACGCTAGGTAGAAATAAATAATAATAACACCTGGTAAAGTTAGTATCCCTAACCAAGACCCAGTTAACCGAGAATACCTATATATAAAAAAAACAACAACAACAACATAGATATCAGATCAAAGATATGATTTATACTCAAATATTTCCAGGGCTCAATACTAAACAGCTGACCAATCAGATGCTGGAGCTCACCAAAGTCATAAATGAGCTGAAGGATGTGCTTGTTCAACAGGTAATGTATTATTTGAGTCGGAATTCTCCCATTATATCGTATTACGTCTCCCACGTTTGATCCTCTTTGATTCTGGACCTTATTTATTTGTATTCGCAGGTGAAAGAGACTGCCTTCCTTAGAAACACAATCTCTGAGTGTCAAGCATGTGGTAAGACTTTTCTAACCAAAGGGTTAGGCATGTTTAGAGATTCAAACAGTCGACCCTAACATTTGTCTCCACATATGGTAACCAAATGGTCTAAACAAAATAGCCCAGAGCACCAGCAGCAAGATTTTTTTTCCCAGAGATCAGTACGGCATCGTGTTTTTCCTACATAAACACTAGGGAAAGCATGAATCCAGTCATCCTATTGCAGAGTCACCGTTCATCTTGTATTTATTAAAGAGTGATTTGATCGTCGATAAAATACGATAAATGGTGGTTGTGTCGCAGGTCTAGGTGGTACTACGGTGAAGCAGCAGTGTGCTCCTGGCGTATGTTTCCGCCCTGACATGTGTATCGAGACGGAGGAAGGGGTGGAGTGTGGCCCCTGTCCTAATGGATACACCGGAGATGGCTATAGTTGTGACGACGTTGACGAGGTAACGCTTCACTAAATCACTACAAGATGACAAATGGCAATTATCTTCTGATATACAGGTCAGACCTGGTTACTAGTTCACATAACACTCTAAGGCTATGACCTATCCCCCAACCCCCCCCCCCCTTGAAACCTTTGTGTGTGTGTGTGTGTGTGTGTGTCTGTGTGTGTGTGTTTTACAGTGCCAGTTTAACCCCTGTTTCCCGGGTGTGAAATGTGTAAACACGGCTCCAGGGTTCCGCTGTGAGGCGTGTCCTAACGGATACACTGGTCAACCAGTGGAAGGTGTGGGAGTGGCTTTTGCACAGACACACAAACAGGTCGGTGTCTGTGTGTGTGTGTGTGTGTGTGTGTGTGTGTGTGTATATTAGGGATGTAAACGAATGTTTAATGATTTATTTTCATGCGGAGCCGAGCGAGCTGCCAGATACAAAGCTCGGATAATAATAAAGCATGTTTATTAACATGCAGCAGTCCTTAGTAAGCCGCATGACGAGGGTCATGGTGGTTTGTTTATTCGTTAGAGAATATTGCAGGCAGGTACAAACAAAGAATAATCTCCTCTCAAGCTCCCTGTGCGTATCTCTAGTCGAGACCAATTGTTCAGAACTCCTACGTCCAAGTGAAGTTAAATGCTACATGAATCCAGATACAGATATGGATATTAGGGGCGTTATACAAATAAAGATTTTGTATTTAAAGCATTGCTTTACACCCCTCGTGTATGTGTTTTGTATATTCACATGTTTTTGATGTAAATGTGTTTTGTTTCTTGATTATTGGACGACCATATATAGTAATATTTTTGGTTCATGCAACCCATATTCTAACCACAGGTGTGTGATGACATTGATGAGTGCAGCGGGCCGAATAACGGAGGCTGTACGGCCAATTCAGTCTGCCTGAACTCGATGGTAACAGCTGCTATTCTTCTCTATTGTTGCTCTTTAGTGTAGGCAGAGACTTGAGGTTTTTTTTTTTTTTTTCCATCACACGCACTTTTTGCTAATGTTAGTACATTAGTCAAAGCCTTTTATTTTTTTGGTTGTGTAATATATGAGACATGCACATTTTCACATGTATAATACAACCGCGCGTGTGTGTGTGTGTGTGTGTAGGGCTCATATCGCTGCGGTGGCTGTAAAACAGGATTCACCGGTGACCAGGTCAGAGGCTGTAAGCCAGAGAAAAGTTGTGGGAATCGGCTGCAGAACCCCTGTGATCCGAACGCGCAGTGCATCGAGGAACGAGATGGCACTATCACTTGCCAGGTAACTAAGTAACGAACATACACAGACACAAACACAGACAGAAATGGTGCTGAAGAAATAGACTACACCGTCATTGTCAGATCATACAACCACAATGTTTTCGTCATGTCCAAATGCTATACCAGACCACAAACCACCAAAACTCAGTTCAATTGTAAGACTGTGTTTTTAAATATTTATGTGTGTGTGTGTGTGGTCCAGTGTGGTATTGGCTGGGCAGGGAATGGCTATCTATGTGGAAAGGACACTGACATTGACGGATACCCGGACGAGAAGCTTCGCTGCCGAGATCCTACCTGCAAAAAGGTAACAATGTCTATGCTGCAACATGACCAACGCAGACTGAGACTTGTGATAGTGGCAGTGTGTTAACTCTGTGTGTGTGTGTGTGTGTGTGTGTGTGTGCGTTTGCGACAATTGTGTTATGGTGCCAAATTCAGGACAGGAAGATGCCGACTCAGATGGACAAGGTGACGCGTGCGACCCAGATGCTGATGGAGACGGGATACTGAACGAGCAGGTACACACACATACGACGTTTGTTTTATTGCAGATGAGTACGAATCCTCTGTTGATTTCAGAGAGTGTTTTGGACCAAAGGACCATCTGAGAATGTCAACAGATGGTAGTACAGCTTTTTCATAAGTCCATACATTTTTTTTTTTTTTTTTGGCTCTTGAATACGTCTGTGACCCTCTGTGATTTATCGTGACGTGTGTGTGTGTGTGTGTGTGTGTGTGTGTGCACGCACTCTAGGACAATTGCTGGCTGAAGCCGAATGTGAATCAGATAAACAGTGATAAGGATAGCCATGGTGATGCATGTGATAATTGCCTTACCATTGAGAATCCAGACCAGCGAGACACTGATTCAGATGGCCTTGGGGATGCATGTGATGATGACATGGATGGAGATGGTGAGAAACTGAGCACACACACACACACACACACACACACACACACACACACACACACATTTGTCTTAGTATCCTTGTAAGCTCTTTGCAGCCAATAAATGAATTATTGCTATGCCTACATCTAAAGCTAATCCTAACCTAAACCTCAGTAAGCAAAATGAAATCTTTTGCTTCCTTTAGTTTAAATTTTTACTTAGAAAAATTAAAAATGCCAGTTTTTGTTAAATAAACAAACAAACAAACAAACAAACATATAAGCAGTTTTCCTTGTTGGGACCATCCACTTATTCTAATTTGAATTCTGTATATACTACTACTACTACTACTACTACTACTACTAATAATAATAATAATAATAGATTTCATTTATGGGTGCCTTTCAAGACGAATTACAAATAATAAGATCCATAAGCAACCCATGAAGAAGCAATAGAACAATATACAATCATATAACAATATACAATAATATACAAAAGCTAAATCAAACAGAATCAGCTATTCTAAAAAAGAAAAATAAAATACAAATGAATATTTCAGTACGTCTGATTGGATACGGAGCTTCTGATGTGTTTTGTAACTGGCTCATAGGTATTAAAAACTTCCTGGACAACTGTCAACGAGTGATAAATCGGGACCAGCGGGACCGAGACCAAGACGGAGTGGGAGACGCTTGTGACAGCTGCCCTGATATTCCCAACCCCAACCAGGCATGATTTTATTTTATTGTTTTTTAGAAATCTTTCTCAACCCCAACCAATTACAAAATCCTTTTTTTCCCCCCAACACCGACTTAATTAATTCTCTTTCTCAATTCGCATTTTATATATATATATATATATATATACCATGTATTATCTGACATTTCCAAACTCCATGTACAAAGCCTCATATTAAACTATTAATATTGCACGAGTATCTGACATTCCTGACATATGAAAAAGATTACTGAAATCACTTTTCAGTTTTTTTCCCACTCCTTT